AGGAAGGAAGGAAGGAAGGGAGGGAGGGAGGGAGGGAGGGAAGGAAGATTGATTCTCCATTGGCTATTCTTCCACTATCTTTGAAGATGTGAGGATGTGTGGCTGAGACAACTGCAACCATCTTGTCACCTGTGAAGAGAGTCTATCTGAGAAAAGAAACAACTCCAAGGAGACAGAACCAAAGACTGAATCAGAGACTGAGAGATACCATTTGTACTCCTCCATGAAGCTTCATCTGGACTAAGTGCGGACTTTTCAGGAACATGATTGTGCTGCACCTCCTAGAATCTACTGATAGAAGTGCTGTCTCTGTTCCCATCAGATAGCCATGGCTTTGTCTCCTGTGGGACAAGAAGGCTGCAGAGACAGGGGTGTTTTAGCATCATTTTTATACCTAGACTCTAGCCCCAACCCTGAATCTGGCTCTTCCATCCCACTGATATCAGAGAGAGAACCCTGGGGATGGTCCCCATCTAGCCATCTGTAACTTCTACCTGCTTTGTTTCAAGCACCAATGTCAGGGATATTAGAGGAAGCCAAAAAGAAGTTAAATAGTTACTAGTGCAGAACTGTGGAAAGGTTTAAGAACTAAAGGCACCAAGGCCAGGGTGTAAGAGGAATTGAAAAATAGAAGAATTGGCTGAAAATGTATATGCGATGTTGATAGATCTCCAGACCCTTTTTCTCATCTTGCATAACCATGTAGTTACTCCTCCTGACCTCAGCAGAATATCGAAGATTTACTTTCAAAAGAGGATGAACCTCTTTTGAGGGACTCTGGACTCAAGAAGACCTTCAGGAATGCCATTATGAAAGCAGAGGGATTAATTAAAAGTCTACATGCTGAACAGTGAGAACCACCCCACACCCCTGCCAACTCAATTCTTCCTCTTGACTCTGAGACCACTGGACATCAGGTTATACCAGACCAGTGCAAGTGGAAATACTCATAGCATCTAACAGTAGCTGAGGAAGTCTCCTAACAAAATGGCCAGCCCCATCACCCTATGATAAAGCCCATTAGTCAATGAATCCCATTCATACACATATAGAATTTCCATCAGCTTGTTAGTGCTCTACTCTTCTATCTGAATGAGCAGGAAAAGATCACCAATCACTTGAACAAAAGGTCTCTGACATCAAAGATAATGACCAAGAAAGACCACCAGAAAAAAATGGACTCTCAGAGACAATGTAGATTACAAAAGGAAAGCCTCAAAAGATCTCTCATTAAAATCTTTAGAGAAGACACTGTACGTGCAAAACCAAGAGCATGATGTTATTTTAAAAAATAAAAATACTCCTGTTAAAAAACATAATAAATAAATAAATAAATAAAAATAACATTCACAAAATGAGAAAATGCTGTTGGAACTTTTTAAATGATATCAGAAATGAAAAATTAATCAGAAGAGCTGAAGATAAAGTTGAGTAAATTTTGCAAAAAGTAGAACATAAATACAAAGAAACATGATAAAAGAGGAGGATTTTTTTAAAAGAGGGTTAATCCAGAAGTTCTAACATGCTAATAATAAGGATTTCAGATAAAGACAACAGAGAAAGTAGGGGCAATTAATTATCAAAAAAAAAAAAATTCCTAGAATTGGAGAACATGCATCTCTATATTGAACAGACTCATCACTGAGTGCCTTTCCATAAATTACTTTAAACACACACACACATACACACACACACACACACACAAAGCCCCATTTGGGGGTCTCTGAAGATAAACTATTATTACTCAGCTCACAGAAAGAAAAAAATCAAAACATCAGCAGAAATAAGGTACTTTTCTGGATTCTGAAATGCTAATAACATAAAATCCCTGCTTTTATAGTATATGCTTATGTCAAAGAATTATAAATTAAATAATATTTTACATGCATTAAAATGTTTTATTTTTAATTCCTATTTTTTAATTTATTTATTTAAATTCAATTAGCCAACATACAGAACATCATTAGTTTCAGATGTAGAGTTCAGTAATTCATCAGTTGCATATAGCACCCAGTGCTCACCACATGCTCTCCTTAATGCCCATCACCTAGTTATCCCAACCCCCACCTCCCTCCCCTCCAACAACCTTCAGTTTGTTTCCTATGATTCAGAGTCTTTTATGGTTTGTCTCCCTCTCTGATTTCTTCCCATTCTGTTTTTCCCTCCCTTCCCCTATGATCCACTACACTGTTTCTTATATTCCACATATGAGTGAAACCATATGATAACTGTCTTTCTCTGATTGACTTATTTCACTCAGCATAATACCCTCCAGTTCCATCCATGTCAATGTAGATGGTAAAATTTCATCCTTTCTGATGGCTGAGTAATAGTCCATTGTATATGTATACCACATCTTCTTTATCCATTCATCTGTTGATGGGCATCTGGGCTCTTTCCATAGTTTGGCTGTTGTGGACATTGCTGCTATGAACATTGGGGTGTAGGTGCCCCCAGGATCACTACATTTCTATCTTTGGGGTAAATACCCAGTAGTGCAACTGCTGGGTCATAGGGTAGCTCTATTTTTAGCTTCTTGAGGAACCTCCATACTGTTTTCCAGAGTGGCTGTACCAGCTTGCATCAATGCAATCCCCATCAAAATACCATTGACATTTTTCACAGAGCTGGAACAAATAATCCTAAAATTTGTATGGAACCAGAAAAGACCCCGAATAGCCAGAGGAATGTTGAAAAGGGAAACCAAAGCTGGTGGCATCACAATGCCAGACTTCAAGCTCTATTATAAAGCTGTCATCATCAAGACAGTATGGTACTGGCACAAAAACAGACACATAGATCAATGGAACAGAATAGAGAGCCCAGAAATGGACCCTCAACTCTATGGTCAACTAATCTTCGACAAAGCAGGAAAGAACAACCAATGGAAAAAAGACAGTCTCTTCAACAAATGGTGTTGGGAAAACTGGACAGCCACAAGCAGAAGAATGAAACTGGACCATTTTCTTACACCATACACAAAGATAAACTCAAAATGGATGAAGGACCTTTTAGGAAGACAATGCTTCTTATTTTAAAAAAACAAAACACACATGAAACAGAAGGAGTTTTCACTGCGAGTATATTTGGGTAACTCTTTTAATAACTAAAGGGGACTGAATTCTGTACCAGAAGTTTATTTTGTTGGTTTTTTAAAATAAGTAGTTCATGGGGATTAGAAATATCTGTTTGCTTAGATCTCACTTAATCTTATTCATATAGGTTCAGACTATATCCCCTAGTTATTTTTCTTTCAGCATCTTAAATTCAAAAAAAAAATCTAACAATATTAATCATGGCTAATTAAATTAACAATAAAATTAAGTTATGAGAATTTGTGTTACCTTGAAATATACCCAAACCCTTAACATTTTAAACTAATTCTCTTTCATCTTAAAGACCACACACTCACCTTGAGGATCAACTTCTTTAGCTAGCTTCAGTGCATCTGAGTTTGCAAGATCGGTGTTGGCTGGGGTAACAGCCAAAATCAGACAGTTCTCCCGCGTGATGAACTGCATAATCATTTCTCTGATCTGATACTCAATATCTGGTGGCTGATCTCCCACGGGCACTTTAGTAATTCCAGGTAGGTCGATAAGTGTGAGATTTAACACTGTGTGGAAAAAAAGAGTTTTACATATACCCTCAATGCTAAAAAATAACAATGCAAAATCATCTGTCTCTTTAGTGGAAATAAAACAAGTTCAGCTTTACATATCGTATATTGAGCTAACTCAAACTTGTGTGTAGAATAAAAAGCATAGAATACAAAATGCCTTTGTTAGTTTTCTCTATTTTTATGATATGATTGTGCTATACCAAATGATCATTTTAACCCAATTTGAAAGGCATTAATTTGCATAGCTAAGAGAGAGCTGTCATATCTGTAACTAGTGTGTTATAATTCAAAAACTGAACAAGAAGTGTATATGCTGTCTGCCAGTCTTATACATTGCCCTCAAATGGCCTAAAATTCTTAGGGTAAGATTTGTCCTTCGCTTCAAACGCATCATATACTATCTAGAGGGGGGTTAGACACTTAGCCTATTGGAAAGCTGTGGGCCACTGTGGTACCATGAGGTTACTGTGTAGGTAACCAGCGAGATTCATGGTGTACCATCGGGAGAGCAGGGAACTACCCCTGCGTCAGCTACTCCAGCTGTGACCTGGCTATCATTCTCTGCACACAAGAGAGTTGGCACCAAATCCTCTTCAAAGTCATAACTGAGCTTATGTCACTCATGCTCCATTTTAAAAGCAACAGAGCTGAGTACAAGATTAGAGATTAAAATCTGCCCCACTGAAAATTTAGTCAGAATAGAGGCTACTCCATATCACATGAACTGGTTATCTAATTTTTAAGTTTCTGCTGATAATCTAGAAAAAGTCATCGTTGGTTCCTCAGGAAGAGAATAAATAGAAATATATGGGGCTACAAGAAAATCCAATAGCAGAAGACTCAGTCACAGTACCAGGTACCTCTAAGATTCTTGCTAAGACTGAAGATGTTAAAAAATGGAATTTTTCACACATACCTCTTGAAATTCTAAAAGTTTAAAATAAACTTAAAGAAAAATTTTTAAGTGCCATACTCAATTCTGACCTTTTTACAAGTCATGTCCTCCTGCCTCCCCATAAATCTGTGAACTTTTTGGACCATCCCATTTATGGTAGTACCCAAACACAATCCTACAAACCCAGTACTTTCAGAGAGAACAAACCATCTTCTGCACAAATAACGTATGTCAATTAATGTAAACATTTTTGAGGACAAAAAAGTTTGAAATTTTGTTATTTTACTTACCATGTGGAGAGTAGACTCGTAAATTAATGGGTATGGAGGAAATGCCTTTATTCATTCCAGTTACTCGATCTGTTTCTGCTTCAATCTCATGGCGAACTTCATCAAAGTCTGTAAATTTTTTTCCTTTGCAATGTAGAAATTCAGCATATTCTACAAAAGACAAATTAACACAACTTAAAATCCATGCACTCTTGCAATAATTGTAAGGAAAAAATGTTTCTTTAATACAAAGTATCCCATATTGTCTCCTCAGCCATTAAAATGAGAGAATACAGTAGTTACTAAGAAACACAGCTAATACTTTAGAAATATTAAACAGTACAAATGCTAAGAATGCTAAATTTGCTAATTTTCAGAGGAGCAATTAAATACTAAAAGTACTAAAACCATCCAGTCTATTAAATAATTTAAAGAGAATTCTGGCCCTCCAAATGATAAAGCAAACAGCATCTGATTGTTAAAGAAATTAAGTTTAGGGTACATACAAAGTCTACCTAATCCTATTAGCATGTCCTTTTTCAATATCACCACTTTATCAAGAGGGAATTCTAAGTTATATAAATATAGCTTCAAAAGGCAAGACAATTCAGAAACAAAATTACTTAATTCTTTAAAAAGAAATAATATATGGAATATCTTAGCTTTAAAATATACTATTCAAGATACCACACCAACTTGTATAGTTAAAAAGATAATTTCTCAAGAAAAAAAGTTTTAGATCAAAGAAAATATTACCTGCAATCTGAAAAAAAAATCAGTATCTGTGGAAGTAGGAAAAACTATATATAATAACAGAAAATTAGATTAAGTTTCAGTAACATCTTACTCACTGTTGTGCTATCGATTTCTATTCCTGCTTCCAGAAGTATCAGGTATATAACACAACTCACAAAGGAAGCTGATACTATTAGACTTAAAATTACAATCTTAATAAGAGAATGAATCTTAACAAATATTTTAGTTTTTCTAATAACTAGCTGAAGAATTGTGGCACCAAACTTAGACTAAGGCTAAGTATCTGGAGCCCAGTTGTCAGCTGAGACAATTATTAGTAGTCTTTCCGCCATTTCCACCATAAACATTTAACCTTCACCCAATATGACAAAGCCAATAGGAAGACAACTATAAGATGTCTTCAAGCAGCTTAGCACCAGTTAACACAGGCAGCAGGAAATGGTGCTGAACTGCATTTAAAGAAAAAGGAAAGACAGGGATAGGAAACAAGGCCTCAAGTTGCAGTGCCTAAAAAAGAAAATGCGGTTTGAACCGGGTACTGAAGAGCGGGGAGGGTTTCAGTGTGTGCAGAGAAAGCAAAGTCTTTCAGGGAATCGAGAATCTTAATAGTCCAACATATCCTGGGCTGGTTATCATCCAGCCTCTGCTCAGAAACATCCACTGATGGGAAACTGAGGCTTTGATGTCTGGAAAAAAACTCTTACTGGGGAAAAAAAAAAGAAACATTTTTTTTTTTTTTAAGTAGGCTCCATGCTGGGCATGGAGCCCAGTGTGGGGCTTGAACTCCAAACCCTGAGATGGAGACCTGAGCTGAGATCAAGAGTCTGACGCTTAACCAACTGAGCCACCCAGGCGCACCGGAATGTTTCTTAACAATGGTCTGAAATCTGCTTTCTGATCATATTTCCTTGGTCCAACTTTTGCCCCCTGGAGCTACTCAGGCAAAGTCTTCCTCCCTGTAAAAAGTCCAGGATTAATCTGAGCCCTGGCACAAGGAGTCCATCTTCTTCCCAGGCTTTTCCCAAAGAACTGCAATGACCTAATGTTTCAAATGTTAGAATGCAGAGACTTTACTTCATTTCAGTCTTTCCTGTCAATGTAGGTAGACATGAATATTTTTCTTTCTTAGTTTTTTCATACAGTATGTGCTACTTTCTGAAAAATGGCAAGCTAAGACTCCCACAAGTTCACTCCTCAGTGGTGCAAGTATACACAGTAAAGATTCATCAGGCTTCAGAATTATGGCCTGAAGTGATGACTGCATCTTCCGGCATGTTCTTTTCACATGTTTACCCTCATAGGTGCTGTTTTTATTAGCATCTAAATTCCCAGAAGATACAGCCCTGATTTTATTTACCTAACCCAGTGGATTGGCCAGAATCATGGGAACATAAGAGTTTAAAGATAAGTAGAAGATAAAACAATAAGAAAAATAAAGAGGAACAAAGGCTGTCAGATCCCAGAAAACAAATAAAAATTAATATATAAAAAGAAGTCATAAATAATTTATAAGAAATGGAACTGTACTTTTTCAGTTCAATATATTTTGTGGAAATGCATACTTGAGAGTTATAGCTATCATAAATATTACTTTCATAAAATTAATAAGCTTCTAGATCAGAGACTACATTTTCAATTACGTTGCCAATCAATAATTCAAGTAACACAAGCGTAGACTTCTCTTGTCGCCACTAGATGGCGCCTACTTGCTTTCTCTGTAGGAAACCAGTGCCCTTCCAGAAAGCTGCAAAATCAATGCAATTTTCAAATTAGATTTAAATTCATTCTTGGTCTCCTAAAAAATGCTTTTATTTTGAAATTGAGAGATTAGAATTGTGCAGGACCATCTCAAACCTTTGTGTCTTTTTAAGGATAGGGTCCCGCAGAGAGATTTAAAGATGCTGGTATTCATTTATTTATTCAACTAATATTTTGAGCTCTTACTATTCACCACGCACTATTTTAAAAATTGCAGAGGAGAGGGACGCCTGGGTGGCTTAGTCGGTTAAGCATCTGCCTTCAGCCCAGGTCATGATCCGAGGGTTCTGGGATGGAGCCCCGCATCGGGCTCCCTGCTCTGCAGGGGAGCCTGCTTCTCCCTTTGCCTGCTGCGCGCGCTCCCTCTCTCTCTCTCTGACAAATAAATAAATAAATCTTTAAAAAAAATTGCAGAGGAGAAAAAAATAAGTCCCTAACCTCATGAAGCTTAAATTCACATGAGATGAAACAGTAAACAATGTGGGTGTTGCCAGATGATAAATGCTGTGGAGAAAATTGAACAGTAGGGGGGATATTAAATGCTAGGGCAGGAGGATTGGTTCGTTATGTGCTTTGGTTGAGGAAAGCTTCTCTGATATGATAAAGTGACATCTGAGCAAAAACTGAAGAGAAGAGGGAGCAAGCAATGCTTTACATAGGTGCATCTCAGCAGAGTCCCTGAACCTGGAAGCATCGGGGAAGGAGAGCAAGGCCAACATGTCTGGATCACAGACTTTGTGGGGGAGAGGGGCAGGAGATGAGGTCAGAGCTGTGGTGCAGACCTGGATTGTGTGGAGCCTGTGGGACTTTAATTTTTACTCTGAAAGAATGGTAGACCACTCGAAGGGTTTGGGGTAGAGACATGATGTGACCTAGGTTTTAAATAAATTACTGTGGCTGTCATGTTGAGAACAGACACTGAGGAGTAAGACAGGAAGCTGGCTACTGGGATAATGGAGGTGAGAAATGATGGGGCTTGGACCAGGGTAGCAGCAGTGTGAGTGGTGAGAAGGGGCTAAATTCTAATATATTTTGAAGGAAAAACCAATAGGATTTGCTGATGGATTAAAGGAGGGGTGCAGGAGAAAGAGAGGAGAGTCAAAAACAGTTTCCCGGAGTTTGACCTCAGCAATGGGGAGAATTTTGAAATAGAAAAGACTGAAAGGAAGAGGTTGGGGAGATGGGGGTTGCAGACCTACTACACTTGTGATGCCTACTCCATACTTAACTACACAAGTGGAGAAACAGAGCTGCTGCTAATGGTTGAGGATTGCACAGCTGTAAGAGATACCACTCACATCCCCAGTCATCTGTTAAGCGTTTACTTATTCTGAAATTTTTCCAGAAGACGGCAGTCAAGTGCTTAAGGAAAAAGGCAGCTTTTTCTAATTAGCACAAGAATGCCTTTGGGGCAAGATACACTAGTCTTTCATCTAGGGAGAAGTACAAGCTAGAAATATGTATTTGGAATTCATTAAAGTCAGGCAAGGAGATGAGGTCACTAAGTGAGAGAGTTAGTTGGGGAAGAGTCAGAGCACTGGGCCCTGGGTGTTCCAGGGCTTAGAGGTCAGGGGAGAGTGAGAAGGAGTGGTCCACAAGACAGGGCGTAAACTCAGAAAGAGGTGACCCAAAGCCAAGTAGAAAGGGTTTTTCATGAAGATAAGAGACTTCCACTCCATCCAATACTGCCAACATGTTAAGGAAGATGAGAACTAGGAATGATCATAGAATTGGGCAACTTGAGAGTCCTTCAGGACATTGACAAGAGCTGCTACAGTGGAGTGAGGCAGCCTGATTGGAAGAGATTAGGAGAGGAGGGGAGAAGAGGAAGTAGATATTAATTGCAGACAATTGTTTTAAGTTTTGCGTAAAGAAGAGCAAAATAGTGAGAGGCCAGCTGGAGAGGGATGTGAAGTCAAGGGAGCGTTTTCTAAAGATGGGCAAACTGATAACACATTCAGATTGATGGCATTGATCCAGGACTAAGGGAAAGGTGACAATGCAGAACTGAGAAAAAAGCAAGTGCTGAAGTGGTATCTTAAGGACGAGGGGACGGGACGCATTAGAAAGGTGCATACCAGCTCCCTCCGTAAGAACAGAAAGGAAACAGAACAACGGGAGTTGACAAGACAAACTGGTGAACTGATGGTGGAGGGAGCATGTGGAATTCATCAGGTGAGAACAGGGATTTATCATATTCGTCTGAAGTCATTTTATGTCTTTAAAAAACATTTCTGCACATATTCTCACTGGTTAAACCCTACAAATACTATTATTTCTACCACCAAATACATCACACACACACACACACACACACACACACACACACACACACACACAGTAGAGTGATCCCAAATGACTGACCTAAGGGTAACCATAGGAGGGATGTCAACTAGGTCTAACCTACGTCCATCATTGGGATTCAGACCTGCCCAGCACTTCAGAAGAACCAATGGGGCAGAAACCACAAAATCCATTTCTTTATGGTCCCAAAGTGCCTCTTAGAGAGCAATTCATCCTACAGGATGGAATTCAAGCAAAACCTACTTCAAGTTGCTAGGACCCATCCTCTACCCAGCTCTGTAGACTCATAGGTCTATGTCCCCTTATCTCTAATAGTATAGTGATAATAGTCAGACCACACATTCTACTTTCTC